GACTCACAGAAAATAGTGTGTTTATTCTTAATCATAAATAGAATGATCACACCGTGTCTAATATTACGCTACGATGAAAGATGGATTCTCAAAACTCCATACATTAAATATTCTTCTTGTAACTGGAGATATTAAAAACCTTAACCAGTTAGATACATTCTCACATCACCAGTTAAGGGAGATAAAACAACTTCTTCACCCACGAAAACCCATCTTTGTGTCGTAGGTAAAAGGGAACCAATTAGATTCGTTCACACATCTCCATTCAGGAGGAAAATTGAACGTACCAATCCGAGACAATCTTAACTCCGGGTGACAAAATCGAGGTGAAGGGTTGTTGTAACTTGTGGAGGACCTTAGGTGGAGTGGTGTTGGGTGAGTGAAGGCAGGGAGGGATGCTGGGTGAGTGAGAGGGAGGAAGAGAGAGAGGGGGAGGGGCCATGGAGGAACAGTGGTGGAAGAAAAGAGAGCGAGAAAGTGGGCCATGGAGGAAGAGTGACAGGGAAGAGAGAAAATGATATAATAGAAATGGAGAGAGGAAAATGGAGAGGAAAAGAAAGGGAAATAGGGAAGAAGGGTGAGAGGAAGGGTATAATAATGATAATATTTAATTATGGCTTAGTGACCATGTGAAGATGTAAATTATTAATAAAATCTCTCTCTCTCTCTCTCTCTCTCTCTCTCTCTCTCTCTCTCTCTAACACACTGTATACACCAGCCCACCCACAGGTTCACTACCATTGGTCAACCCGTTCATCAATCACTTTCATTTATTATGCAGTTATAAAAACATACACTATTTATTAATTTACCAAAGTGACGTTATGGAAACGCTCTCCCTTTGTTCTTTATTAATGAATGTAAAAAAAAAAAAAAAAAAATATATATATATATATATATATATATATATATATATATATATATATATATATATATATATATATATATATATATATATATATATATATATATATATATATATATATATATATACATTTTCTTTTTCGGGGAGCTACGTAGCCAGTCTTGTGTGCTGTAGTCCTTGTCCCAGTTTTCAAGTACAGGATTTCCGCTCTTATGAGTTGAAGTTAGGTTAGTTTAGGTTAGTTTGGGTAAAGTTAGGTTAAGTTAGTCTCGGTTAATTCAGTATTGATTAAGTTAGCTTAGGGTTGGAGGGACTCGAACATGCGTATACATACAAAACACATCTATATATATAAAATACATTGTGTGTGTGTGTGTGTGTGTGTGTGTGTGTGTTCCATAAACATTTCCACAGTGTTGAAGATAAAAAAACTCAAATTTTTGGTAGGGAGGTGCGAACGGCTCAAGGGATGGTTGTGTGCACTATCCCCGTCCCTCCACCCGGGTAATTCAATATCTCTATAAATACACAAAATTACGACATACGAAGACATAATTAAAGAAGATAGACGACTGTTAAAGGAAGGTGTTGATGCCTGACTCGGGGAATATAATTTAAGGTGTGTGTGTGTGTGTGTGTGTGTGTGTGTGTGTGTGTGTGTGTGTGTGTGTGTGTGTGTGTGTGAGTGTGTGTGTGTGTGTGTGTGTGTGTGTGTGTGTGTGTGTGTGTGAGTGTGTGTGTGTGTGTGTGTGTGTGTGTGTGTGTGTGTGTGTGTGGTGGTGAGTCAATAATGTGGGGAGGACACGAGCCTTGTGCTGCCCGTCTTCCCTCTTTAATTATGATATATACAGTACTTACCTTATGGACGCTATATATATATATATATATATATATATATATATATATATATATATATTATTGTGTGTGTGTGTATATATATATGATATACATAAATAGATAATTATACATTGATACAGATATAGATACACAGATATAGAGATAGATAGATAGATATAAAGATAGACAGATAGATAGAGGCATATATAGATAAATATAAACATGTACAGGTATACAGTTATGGAGAGAGAGTTAATAAGACATTCATCCATCATTGCCGTACCTTCCTGTCTCTCTATTCACCCCCCTCCCTTCCTCCTCGCCCTCCCCCCGTCCAGGCTATCACATCCTCACCTTTAATATCGGTAAATTACACAAGACATTTAACACTTCACCTCCAGCCTTCCTAAATAACTATACAGTCTACCTGTCAACATTCCACAACACCTGTCAATCTTTTAACTGCTACTACTATGTGTACTCCTTACTACTGATGTTTACCGTGATAACCAATCTTACAAAACATCTTCCCCCTGGATTTTAAACATTGATTTCTAACAGATAAGGTAATTTGTTTTGAGTCAATGTTTAATTTATATAATGTTTTATATGTGTGTTAGTTGCTTCTTCCCTATTGATGTTTAACGTGAACATCAACGCCACAAAACATCCCAGATTAGTAAACATTGATCTAATATACGATTGCAGTCGAGAATCTTAAAACATCGATTAAACACAAAGAAAACATCCAAACTACCTTAAAAAAAAACGTTGATCTAACACAAGTCAAATACTTCAACCTTATAATATAAACCAGAATCGTAAACATTAATGGTAGACAAGAAAAACACCCAAACAACCATAAACATCGATTTAACACCAGAAAAAAATGTTTAGTATTAGTGTTTCTCAGATTATTATTGAACTATGTACCGTTACTTGAGTAAGGTGTCAACTCATGTGAGGCAATGTCAGATTCTCATAGGTACAGGATTCACCTCTCTCTCTCTCTCTCTCTCTCTTCTTGACCTCTGACTTCTCTTTCCTTGACCTCTCATCTCTCTCTTTGACATTTCATCTCTCTTTGACCTCTCATCTCTCTCCTTGACCTCACCTCTCTCTCTTCTTGATCCCACCTCTCTCTCTTGACCTCTCATCTCTCTCTCTCTCTTTGACCTCTCATCTTTATCCTGACCTCTGACCTGTTTCTTTTGACCTTTTTGACTCCTCCTGACGTAACAGTTGTATATGGGTTGACGGGGCGCCGGTGGTAGAGCGGTACCGCTCTTGCCTCGCAAGCGAGATGTCACGGATTCGATTCCCGGGCCGGTGGAAAGTTGTTTGGACAAACTTCCTAGCCCCCATTGGTCCCTCTTTACCTGTTGTAAATCGAAAAGTTGCGAATTCGTATTCAGGGAAAGTTGTTGGAGCTTCCAATAACTTACTGACGAAAACCTATGACTCTTCAGGCTTCTACGCCCTTAACTCATGCGACATAAAGGCAAGCATGAACTTAGCATGCTTCCCAGTTGGGCGCTGTAAGCGCTTCTGCGCTTCACTTTGCACAGGATGTACGGGGGTGCCCAATAAAAATAATAAAAAAAAATATGGGATGACTTAGTGAAGCTGAGAGAGATACAATCCTTGCTTCTCCCCTGCCGTAGTTACAGTATGGTGAGGACCTAATGAAGTAGTTTGTTAGTTAGTTACGAATTCATATGTAAAAAGATAGATTGATAGATAAATAGTTACATAAATAAATATACAAATATATAGATAAATAGTTAGTTAGTTAGTTGGTTAGTTCATTAGTTAGTTAGTTAGTTAGTTCATTAGTTAGTTAGTTAGTTAGTTCATTAGTTAGTTAGTTAGTTAGTTTATTAGTTAGTTATTTAGTTAGTTCATTAGTTAGTTAGTTAGTTCATTAGTTAGTTAGTTAGTATGTTAGTTCATTAGTTAGTTAGTTAGTTCATTAGTTAGTTAGTTAGTTAGTTCATTAGTTAGTTAGTTAGTTAGGGACCGAGAATACTACCCACGTGACGTCCGCGGGTCGGGGTGAGTAATAACAGGGGATTGACTGACATCACGTGACTCACATCGTGCATGGGAACACGACATCATAGTGACGTCAAGGTATGCATAGCGTGACGTCATGGTTTATATAGCGTGACGTCATGGTGTGTGTGTGTGTGTGTAAACAAAGAACTGTTTTATGGGTGTCCCTGATATCGACGATTGTCTAGCACCAACACGATCCCACCAATGAACTGCCTCGACTGTTTATTTACATGTGTGACGTCATAGTGGCGTGGGCGAATCACAGTATGTATTTACAAATACACTATTAAAATTAAGAACTCTCTACCTGTAATATAGTCTTTGAAAATAATGAAATAAAATGAAATTATACCAGACAGTTATATTCTTATTGGTTCTTCATTCTAATTATTTCATGAAAGGATTTTATTTTTTACATAGACTCACTTATGAAATTGGTCTCTCTCTCTCTCGCTCTCGCTCTCTCTCTCTCTCTCTCTCTCTCTCTCTCTTATTAAGAATCCTAATCTTCCCCAATACCTCTTCCTCCTCCTCCTCCCCCCTCACATAAAGCCTCTTCCTACACCCTCTTCCAATATCCTTTCCTCCTTCCCCTCACACAGCACCCCCACATCCCTCCCCCACCCCTCATACAAAGATCTCCCTCCCCTACATGCTACTATTGTCTCCCCTCACACGTCTCCTCCATTATTACTCTCCCCCTCCCTCCCGCCCTCCCTCCCTTCCCCTGACACAGTACCACTCCCTATTTCCCTCCCCCTCTCCCTCTCTACCTTCACACAGTATCCCTCACTCCTTCTCTCCTTCCTCTCCTCCCTTTACATAGCACTATCCTTCCTCCCGCCTTTCCTTCCCTTCCTTCACACAATACCTCTCCCTTCCCCTTTCCCTCAATTTTCTAACACAACACTCCTTCCTCCTCTAACATAAAACCCACCTCCCCTTCCTTCCCTCCACCCACAAAACCTTTCCCTCCCCGTCTTCCTTCCTCCTCTCAAACAAAACCTTTTCCTCCCACCCTCCTTCCTTTTACACAAAACCTCTTCTCCCTCCATCCCTGTTCCCCCCACACACAATACCTCTCCTCCCACTCGTTCAACTATTGTTTTCCCTCTCATCTCCCTCACAATCTCCCTTCAAAACTCACTATTTCCCCATCACACAACGACCCTGCTCCTCCTCAGTGAATAGCCCTCACCCGGGGAGATCTTCTCACAATGACTGCTTATGAGAGGCTATCTTAAGTCACCTGGGTGGCTTGTTTGTGGCTCGGGTGGGGATCTGGGGAGTTGTGGGTCAGGAGGAGAGTCTGGAGGGAAGGTGGGTCTGGAGGGGATGTTGTGGGTCTGGAGGGGTTGTTGTGGGTCTGGAGGGTTGTTGTGGGTCTAGAGGGGTTGTTGTGGGTCTGGAGGGGTTGGTTGTGGGTCTGGGGGGTTGTTGTGGGTCTGGAGGGGTTGGGTTGTGGGTCTGGAGGGGTTGTTGTGGGTCTGGAGGAGGTTGTGGGTCTGGAGGGGTTGCTGTGGGTCTGGAGGTTGTTGGGTCTGGAGGATGTTGTGGGTCTGGAGGGTTGTTGTGGGTCTGGAGGGGTTGTTGTGGGTCTGGAGGGTTGTTGTGGGTCTGGTGGGGTTGTTGTGGGTCTGGAGGGTTGTTGTGAGTCTGGAGGGGGTTGTTGTGGGTCTGGAGGGTTGTTGTGGGTCTGGAGGGGTTGTTTGGGTCTGAGGGGTTTGTGAGTCTGAAGGGTTGTTGTGGGTCTGAAGGGATTGTTGTGGGTCTGAGGGTTGTTGTGGGTCTGAAGGGGTTGTTGTGGGTCTGGAGGAGTTGTGGGTCTGGAGGGTTGTTGTGGGTCTGGTGAGCTTGTTATGGGTCTTTGTGGGGTTGTTGTGGGTCTGGAGGGTTGTTGTGGGTCTGGTGGGGTTGTTGTGGGTCTGGAGGGGTTGTTGTGGGTCTGGGGAGGCTTGATGTGGGTCTGGAGGGTTGTTTGGGTCTTTGTGGGGTTGATGGGTCTGGTAGGGGTTGTTGTGGGTCTGGAGGGTTGTTGGGTCTGGTGGGGTTGTTGTGGGTCTGGGGGGTTGTTGTGGGTCTGGGGAGGCTTGGTGGGTCTGGAGGGTTGTTTTGGGTCTGGGGGTTGGTATGGGTCTGGAGGTTGTTGTGGGTCTGGAGGGTTGTTGGGTCTGGGGGGTTGTTGTGGGTCTGGAGGGGTTGTTGTGGGTCTGGAGGGGTTGTTGTGGATCTGGGGAGGCTTGATGTGGGTCTCGAGGGTTATTTTGGGTTTTTGTGGGGTTGATATGGGTCTGGTTAGGGTTGCTGTGGGTCTGGTGTGGTTGTTGTGGGTCTGGGGGAGGGGGCTTGTTGTGGGCCTGGAGGGAGGCTGTGGGTCTGAGGGTAGTTTGTGTTTCTGGTGAGTTGTCTGCAGAACTCAGAAGGCAGACAAGAAACGTAGAACCTCACAAAGAAACTCAGAAGATAGAAGGCGAACACACAACTCACAATGAGAAATCGTAAAGGAAACTCACAAAGTCACAGAACCTCATAAGGGAAACTCAAAAGACAAACATGGGACATAGAACCTCATAAAGAGAACTCACAATAACACACAGAATAAAATAAATAGAACTCACAATAAAACACAGAACCTCAGCAGGCCAGACGGGGGATAAATCACAATATAAGAGGCAGAGTGTAGACTTCGACACAGCACAACACAGCCAGGTGTAAGAGAGCTCTCACCACCTACCTGACGAAGCTGTCAACACCGTCAACATCCTCTCAGATATTGCCTCCACAACACCACCTGTCCGGGCCTCCAGTTTCAGAAGTTTGTAAGGCGAATTTGACTTGTTTAAGATGAAAAAATAAATAAATAGCATTTTTCCTGTTCTTAGTGACGTAAGAACGCATTTTTCTTGTTCTGGGTAACATATTGACGCATTTTTCTCGATCTTGGTGATGTTAAACGCACTTGACTATCCTTCTAAACTTACGATACAAAGATGAATTATTATCAAACATAGTGAGATGAAATATTCGGCATTTACACACACACACACACACACACACACACACACTAGAAAGGTTTGGCCGTGGACTACTGCACCACCCTCGTTATCGCCACCTCCTGCCACCTGCAGCCCCCCACCCAACTCGCGCAGTCCGCCACTACAACAAAATTCAGCCCATAAGAGCCCGCACCGATAGATATAAGAACAGCACCATCCCATCTATTGTTAAAATAATAAACAACTCCTGATTTATGTACTGTACAGCCCTGTAAATGTATTCAATGCATATTATATCATTATGTCTAAATCAAATGTAAGTCTGTATATTTTCAGCCACCGGCTGCAACACCTATTAATAAACCGTTTATTATTATTATTATTATTATTATTATTACACACACAGAAACATAGCATATATCTCTAATACCATAATGATATATAAACAACAATTTGAGTTGCTGGCTCTTTTGTGTACGTGTGTGTGTGTGTGTGTGTGCGCGCGTTGATGGTGACACTATATCCTACATATTTACCAACAAATTTTCCCATACATGGGTCATTACCCATACACTGGCCATACAATTACCCATACATTAACCCATACATTACCCATACATTACTCATACATTACCCATACATCACCCATACACATAGCCACTAGAGCCTGAAGCTGCTGACACTATCTCGTAAATGCCAGAAAATGACATCTCTGGTAGTAGTGATGTGGCCCTGCGTGATGTTTATGTTTAGTAAGTATTGGTGGGTGTGGCCTAGCTCTCTGGTAGGTGTGGTATAGTCTTTTAATGGGTGTGGCTTGGCTCTCTGGTAGGTGTGGTATAGTCTTTTAATGGGTGTGGCTTGGCCCTCTGGTAGTTGTGGTTTGGTCTTTTAGTGGGTGTGGCCTGGTCTTTTAATGGGTGTGGTTTGGTCCTCTGGTAGGTGTGGCCTGGTCTTTTAGAGGGTGTGGCTTGATCCCCTAGTGGGTGTGGCATGGCCCTCTTTTGTGGGTGTATTATGGCCATCTGGTGGGTATCTCCTGGCCCTCTGTTGAGTGTTACCTGACATGGCCTGGAACCACGCTAACTGACCCACACACACACACACACACACACACACACACACACACACAGGACTGTAAACAACATGGCTTCATTACATAATTATACTTCTGAACTTGTACGGTAAACAGCAGACAATAACACCCTAGATTACTGTCCAATTACCACACTCCCACGGTGTTTTGTGTGTGTGTGTGTGTGTGTGTGTGTTGTGTGTGTGTGTGTGTGTGTGTGTGTGTGTGTGGGCATTTTTGTAATCAATAAATGAGATATTTTTTAATAAGTGGCATTACCCAACTATCCCATGACCATCCCCAGGCGGCCCTCTCATGGCCACCCCCAGACACGACCCCTTCTCATGACCACCCCCAGACACGACCCCTTCCCATATGACCAACCCCAGACACAACCCATGTCCATGACCACCCCCAGACATGACCCCTTCCCAAAACCACCCCCAGACACGACCCCTCCCCCCATCCCCCACATGTACCTGGTGTCCCCATGGTCAAATCTGGAAACCGCGTCCAAACCCCCGAACCCAGAACCCCTTATGGAGAGAACGGACCCGTAATTCTAAATAATCAACCTTAATTTTTATAATACTACATGTTATTTATCTATCTATCTATTTAATTCTGCACTTGGTCCAATGTTAAGCGAGCACCCCGTCAGCGACCTCTAGGACACGATCGAGGTGATAGGCACGTGTCGCTGCCCCATACCTGACAACCCTACCTGTGTTTCTACTCATGTGTCACCGTCCCATGTATATCAAATATCAAGAGAATAGTAACCATAACACTGTCTATACCAGGTGTAGGTATCAATTAAATACCAGTATCAGTATCACGTTTGTGTATTTTTTATTCGTATGTACTGGTTGCTGGGTGGTGCTATAGTGTGAGCCTCTAGTCAGCTGTTTTGTGTTGTGATGCGTCAGCTGATGGCGTCGTGGAAAAAACCTTAACCTTGTTTACATGAATAACAACACGACGATGGTACCTGTGTGTGTGTGTGTGTGTGTGTGTGTGTGTGTGTGTGTGTGTGTGTGTGTGTGTGTGTGTCTAAAGGAGAAGTTAATAGTGTGATCACATGCCAACTCTGAACCCATAACCATAAACAGGGGGAGATATCATAACCCAACCTCTGTCACACTAATACACCCGAATCTTTATACATAATTAAAGGGTCACTTGAGGTGTTTTATAGTTAATATGACACAGATATTTACGCCCCATAAACACACTCTTAACGTCTCCTCAACACACACACATGGACTCACACCTGTTCTGAACCTTTAAAATCACAACTCAGAACCTAGCTTTTGTTTTAGGTATGATGACTCTATAATAATGTGAGTTTGTGGTTTTATAGGTAATGTATATTTTTTTTATTAACATAGTAGTTATAGGAGAAGTATTATATAAAGGAAGGTGTGTTGATGTGGAGGAGGGAAGGAGGTGGGAGGGAAGGGGGAGGGAAAGAGGGTAGGAGGGGGTATGGAGAGGGAAAGAGGGGAGGTGGGAGGGAAAGGGGAGGGAGAGAGGGAAAGAGGAGAGGTGGGGGGAAGGGGGAGGGAGAGAGGGAAAGAGGGGAGGGAGAGAGAGAAAGAGGGGAGGTGGGATGGAGGGAGGGAGGGAGAGGTGCTGATTTATTTACGCCAGATCTAAAGGTCACAGCTAGTGGCTCAGGTCAGGGCGTGGTGCTCCTGCCTCACACGCCCACAGACACGCACGCCAACACACACACACAAACACCCACGCCCTCTGACGCCTAACATCACAACATCTTACTGATTAGTTCAAGTTAATTATGTTATGTTATGTTGGAATAGGGTAGGGTAGGTTAGGTTAGGTTAGGTTAGGTTAGCGTTATGTTAGATTAGGTTAGCTTCGATTAGATTAGATTAGCGTTAGTTTAGATTAGATTAGCGTTAAGTTAGATTGTATTAGCGTTCGGTTAGATTAGATTAGCGTTCGGTTAGATAAGATTAACGTTAGGTTAGATTAGATTAGCGCTAGATTATGTTATGTTAGGTTAGGTTAGATTAGGATAAGTTAGGTTTGAATAAAGTTAGATAAGGTTAAGTTAGATTAGGTTAGCTTAGGACAGGATAGTTTAGTGTTAGAGTGGTTAATGCTAAGGTGAAATAAGCAATGGTGGGTATAATCTTAAGATAATCCAACAATTAAAATCCTGTAATCCCTGGACAGTAATCGCAGGCACACGTGACACTGACGGAGGTGGACACAAGACACGCTCCAAAGGTCAATATCACTCCCGTTAGTTTCCAGGAAAAAAATCGCCATTTTTTTCTCCTAACTACGGAAAATCGTAAATGGTTGAAATATGGAAGTAGAGAGGCAAGACTTTCTAACCTAACCTAACCTAACCAAGTCTAACCTAAACTATTCCAACCTAACCTAACCTAACCTAACCTAACCAAGTCTAACCTAAACTATTCCAACCTAACCTAACCTAACCTAACCTAGTCTAACCTAAACTATTCCATCCTAACCTAACCTAACCTAACCTAACCTAACCAAGTCTAACCTAAACTATTCCAACCTAACCTAACCTAACATAACCTAATCTAGCGCTAATCTAATCTAACCTAACGTTAATCTAATCTAACCGAACGCTAATCTAATCTAACCGAACGCTAATACAATCTAACTTAACGCTAATCTAATCTAAACTAACGCTAATCTAATCTAATCGAAGCTAACCTAATCTAACATAACGCTAACCTAACCTAACCTAACCTACTATTTTGACGAAACATTAAAATCTGCCGTGACTGCTGTGTATAGATGACAGGGACACGTCAGGAGGTCAACGTGGATGATGAGAACCAATCAGAACACTTCTTACTCTGCCTGGGAATCGAACCCGGGAAACTTTAGTTTGTGAGGCGAAAGTACTGATCACTGAGCCACGAATGACAGGTATGTAATACGTACATGACTGATATAAAACTGGTATCTAACACGTACACGAGTGGTATTTAACCGGAACACAACTAATACCTAACATTAACACAACTAATACCTAACATTAACACAACTAATACCTAACATTAACACAACTAATACCTAACATTAACACAACTAATACCTAACATTAACACAACTAATATCTAACATTAACACAACTAATACCTAACATTAACACAACTAATATCTAACATTAACACAACTAATACCTAACATTAACACAACTAATACCCAACATTAACACAACTAATACCTAACATTAACACAACTAATACCTAACATTAAAACAACTAATACCTAACATTAACACAACTAATACCTAACATTAACACAACTAATACCTAACATTAAAACAACTAATACCCAACATTAACACAACTAATACCTAACATTAACACAACTAATATCTAACATTAACACAACTAATACCTAACATTAACACAACTAATATCTAACATTAACACAACTAATACCTAACATTAACACAACTAATACCTAACATTAAAACAACTAATACCTAACATTAACACAACTAATACCTAACATTAACACAACTAATACCTAACATTAATACAACTAATACCTCACATTAACACAACATAAATTGAACAGGAACAAGACTGGTCTACAACAGGTACACATGTGGTATCAATGAGGTACCAGACTAACAACAATCCTCTGAGTCAATGATCGACTCAGTAAGATC